GGCTTTAGCTTCTCAGTGCTGTGCTTTAGCCCGCTGCGCCACCAGGGAGGGCCCTCAATTACTTTTTAAAATAATGCAGCTGTAAAACAAATTTATGTAAGTACAAACATGTCTGCAATACAAATCATATTCAGATTTACATAATGTGATTTCTGAGACTTTCTTTGGCATGAACTGTATCTTTCAAAGGTATGCATGAAGTGCTAGTTTGGGAGTTTGCCTGCTCTGCTGTGTGCTGGGTGATGAAGCACTTCCCCCTACCACTTTTCCTGTTTGAATCACTGTTTCCAGGCATATTGCGACATCATTTATCTCCTGATACAAAAATACAATTCATATTTTCCTCCCAACATTTTATGAAAATCTTCAATCAGACAGTTACTGAAATATTTTACTGTGAACACATGTATACCCCCAACTTCAATGATGCCATTAGTATTTTGTTGTACTTGCTTCATATGATTAACATCTTAAATCTCCCCATTCTCATTAGCCCACTAAATACAAGCTTGGATCTTAAAATATTTTGAGCAATATTTATCTTTGAATATGAGCAAAAATCTGCCTATTCTAATTTTTTTGGGTCACCATCAGATGAAAAATAATGGCTGTGGAGAACTTGTAGACTGCAGGAACTGATAGTTTATTGCTGTGTTTCTTGCCTGGATTTTCATAAATTGAGAAAGAGTGGTCTGCCTGGGCCCAACTGGTACCCTCTGGGACAGCATAAATTCCTGTCATCTTAATTTGACGTGATTATGCAGCACTAGATATGAATCACTGTAGGAAGAGAGAAGTCAGCTGGACTTGGAAAAAAGTTTTCATGCTGCTTCGTGCACATTTACTTAAATTTAAATCAGTTGTGTGATTTTTAAGAACTTTTTTTTTCTTCCTGAAGTCATTCTGTAAATTACTTAATTCAATTTATCTAGTTCAGTTCACTTCACTTCCCCTCGAATCTTTATGGAAGGCTGGTTGTGCCAAGAATGGCTAGGCTGGTGATTTTCAACAAGGGAGGGTGCTCATTTTGCTCCACCCTGGGGACATCTGGCAACAGAGTCACTTTTGACTGTCATGACTAAGGGTATGTGTATCAGAGTTCCCCATGACCACCCCCAATTTTGATGACTTGCTGGGAGGGCTCCTAGGACTCAGCATTTAGTCATGCTCATGAGTGATTTATCATAGAAAAAAATCAGTAAAGGGAAAATGCACACAAGTCAAAGTTTAGGGGCCCCCTCCCTTGGCCAGCTAGCTCTCTTGGGTCCCTAGCACAGTGGTGTCACTGAGGATGGGCAGTGCACCAGTGAGTTGTGACCAGGCTCGTAAAGTGTCACTTTCCCTGGGATGCTCCTGTGAGGTGCAGCGCTCAGAGTTTGATGGGAAGGTAATCACATGGGCAGTGGCACAGGCCAGCATTTCGGAGCCCTGGAAGGGAAGTAGGTGTTCAGCATAGACCATATTGTTTGGGCATGGTGGGGATACTCCCCATGTTGAAGTTTGCAGGGCCAGTCGAGGTCAGTGCGGTGGGAGGGCCCTCGGAAGACAGCAGCAGGCCTGCTGTGTTGGCTCTGTCCCACTTCAGGTGCGCCCAGCACCTGGTGTGTGGGGCCATGGGCTTGCCCATCTCCACGTTACACAGGGCAGCTGCCACAGCCGAGAGTGCTGGTTCTGAGGGCAGTGCTGGGCGGAGCCCAGGTGAGGCAGAGGTGAGCCCGCCTCTGAGCAGCGACGGGGCTGCCAGGCAGCTCAGCCGGCTCTGCCCTCGGCCTTTCTGATGGTGGCCTGGACTCGGCCCTGCCGAACGGCAGCGTCTAGTCTTGCCAGTGTGATCTGGCTGTCTTATTTAGGGCTCTGAATTCCCTCCAGATTTAATGCAGGCATGGGAGAAACTGAGAAGGAGATATTTAGTGGGAACAAAGGGGGGAGTGTACCATGCTGAGTGGTACTTTTTTTTTTCTTCTTCAAATAATTAGTTTCAAAGATTTCAACTGCTATGTTGGTGGTATTTTCTTAGTAACTTAATCTCCAGTTTTTATGTGTAGTGAAACTGAAATTAAGATCTTTACCTAGATCACTTAAGGCCTCAGTTTCTGAAGTTCTGTGGCTCAGTGAGTAGGTGGCGTGAGACTGTGTCCTCCAGGGTAGCAGGGGAGTTGCAGGCTGCTTTGGGGCAGCTGGCGCCCACCTCCCCACAGCTTGCACTTTGGTCCTGCTGGTGTTTTATAAAAAATACTCCCATTCTCCTGGAGGAAAAAGGACCAAGAAAGAAAAGGAAAGAAAAGAAAGCAAAGCCAGCGAGTCCCCAGAATCATCAGCCCCCCCAGGGGCTCGGGAGAAGCAGGGTGCTGACCACGGCAGCATTGGGTTTTGCTGCTCTTTGTGAGAGTGGATTTGTGAGGGGTTCCCACATCTCCTGAGGGCTCCCTAGAGCAGGGAGAACTTTGTTCTTACTTTTATCTTAAAGCTCTCAATATTTTTTCAATGGGAAGCTGAGGCTTGTTTCTATTGATAGTTTCTTCTCGCAGCTGTGTTGGCCTCAGCTGGAATTCTTGTTATTTTCTCTTTAAAAGGAACTAAATTGGGAGTTTTCAACTGTCACCATTGAGCGTGAGTTCAGATTCACAGCATGGTGTCAGTTAAACTTAGACATCGGCACTCCTGGGAGGAAACATGAAGGTCGAAGCTCATAATTTCAGCCCTTGAAAGAAAAGCAAGTGCACCTTAAAATTCCGTTTGCTTGGAGCTGAAACAGGGCATCTGCCGCCCCTCTGTGAGGCCAGGAAGGGCCAGGTTGCAGGCTGCTTGCGGGCGTCTGCGCCTTCTGTCAGAAACGGAGCAGTGGTGGGGGGCAGGGGCCCGGGCCTGAACGCCACAGGCAGAGCTGCTGCTGACAGGGCGCCTCACTTGCTGGGCTCCGGAGTGCCCTTTAGCACCACGTGCTCACTGACGTGTTGCTTTCGATGTCCGTGGGGTGGCAAGTGTCAGAGGCCACGCGCTCATGCTGGCGTCTCCCATCCCATGCAGCACCTTGAGCTTCGCCTCGCCCATGTTTACAGCTCCCTGTGCAGTGAGTGCTCTGGCTCCCATGCTCATCGGGTCTTTATTTACCTGACCAGCTCTCTTGTATAGAGCTAGAATTCTGTTCTGCCGCTGTCCCTCGAAATGTGGCTGAGAAACTGATTTTAAATTTTTACTTAACCTCAGTGGCCTCAGGTGGCCAGCTGCCCCAGGGTGGTGAAGTGTAGGGAGTCTGTGGATCCCTTTCTTCCCTGACAGTACTGTGGGAAATGCCCTGTTGCCTTCAGTTCAGGTGTGTGAGGAAATTGCTACAGAAATGGTCCTTTGGACTGGGAAGCAGCGGGGCTGCGGTGTGTGTCGCTGTGTGGGGGGCTCGGTCAGTCTGGCTGGCCAGACCGTGTTCCCCTTCCCCTGCCCTGCTCTGCCTTTGGACCCAGGGCTTGATGCTCAGCAGGCGAGGACAGGCTTCTCAGGTAGAACGTGATGATGACTCAGCTGTGCCTCATGCGAGAGCGAGGTAGTCCCAGGCAGAACCACCAAATGGTCTGAAGTGAAAGGAAAACGAAACACTTGCCCCTCTTACTCCGAGGACGGATGAAAAAGAGAGATGGGCTCAGAGAGTGTGGCTGTGGTCCTTTCCCATGTGCACAGCTTTCGTTAGCTTTCTGGTGACCTCCTGTGGGCCGCCCGACAGTCACCTGGCTTGAGGCCGAGTTGCGTGAGTGCCGCTGCTGCTGGACGTGAGGGCCGGTTCATTTCTTCCTGGAGATGTGTTTTGTTACTCTTTTCTTTGACAGTGATCCCGGGGGTCCTCTGCTTGGATAGTGTTTGTGTCCTATAGCCTCTACTTTGTGGGACAGTTGCCTTCAGGCTTACCATCTGGTCTCCCCAAAATCTTATTCCTTGATGCCTGGCTTACTGACTTTGCTTACTAACTTTCAGAGACCTAAATGGCCAATGCTATCTTCGCACCATTTTCTTGAAGCATCCCCGTTACCAGGTTGTTAGGACTGAGCGATCCCTCTGAAGAATAGCCTGGCCTGCTCAGTTTCTCTCTTCTGTGTGCACACACTCACTTTTACAGGTTTACAGCGTGCTTGCTAGGTTGGGGAGGTGGGGGGGAACCAGCCTTTCCTTGAAGCATTAAGAACTTTTTCCAAATAAAAACCTTTCATGGTCGCCTGATATTTTAGATGGGTCCTACCTTTCTTAGTGTGTTTTACGTATTCAGCAATCTACAGAGTGTAATCGAAGTCGGGGGGTGCGAAGCTTGACGAGAAATCACTGTCCTATGTCCGGTATCAGCGTCTGTCCCTCTTAGATTAATGTACCAGCTGCGATTTCCAGTCACCTCTTCTCTTCCGCAGCCCACGGCGATACTTCCTCCTGTCATCTCAGATGGGTCTCCACCCGGAGTACAGGGAGGAGCTGGAGGCCCTCCAGGCCAAGCACGGCGAGTCCCTGCTCGTGCTGGATAAATGCACCAACCTCTCCGAGGGTGTCCCTGCCGCACGCAGGCGCTGCCGCCAGCACCAGGCCTTCGACTACCCCCAGGTGCTGCAGGTGCGTGTCATTCTGACCTCTCGGGGCCCCGTGGGGGTCACCCCAGCACACGGCATCGGTGCCCGGGCGCGTCTGGGAGGACACCCACAGGGTGAGTTCAGCAGATGCGCAGGTCGCCCGGGCGCTGGCGTGTCCCGTGCGCGCGGCCGCCCGGCTGCGTTCCTTACGCCTCCAGGTGAAAAGCTGCCTGGACGGAGCGCCCGTGTTTGGCGCTTACCTGTATCCCTCAGTCCGCCCGAGGAACCTCCGTCATGGCGGGGGCGCCTGTGTGCCTGAGTCAGCGAGCCGTCCGGGGCAGAGTCAGTTCTGCAGGAGCGGGGGCCTTTCTCTGTTGTTACTGTTTGTCTTTCGGCCGCCCCCTTAGCACGCCGGCCAGGGGCTGGTCGCTTACTTGCTTCTCCAGGGACACAAGGGCCTCACGAGGGGGTGTTGAATTTTGTTCCGTTGAGTACTTAAAATACAGCCAGGTCAGTTCAGGGAGAAACACTGAGGTGGTGTGAATTTTATTTATTTTTTTGGCTGTCCAAAGGCCCATGCCTAGATTGTTAAAATACTTTCTCTCAAAAAGTGCTGCATCTCCGTCTGGAATGTCTGCCTGATAACAGTGGTGATGTGAGCAGGGGTATTTATAGTAACCTTTGTCTAGACAGGAAGAATGGTTATCAGCACGTGTGTCCACATCTGGAGGCCGGTGCTGCGCTCAGGGCGCCATGACTGATTCTCCCCTTCCACTCTCAGGGCCTTCTCATCCCTCCCCGGAGGAGGGGGGCAGGTTGAGTCTCTTTGTATTGTCCTGAGCTCTCCTTCTTTCTAGCTTTCAAGAATAAATGGTGTTTTCTTTTTTCTTGAATAGGCAAAAACTGGAAGGCACTGAGTGTCAGAGGTGGGACCTCATTTTGGTTGACCTGTCATGGCTGTTTTTTCCTCCTGTACATCTCTTCCCCAGACATGCCCCGTGTTGAGTGGGCTTGAGGGAGTGACAGGAAGAAAGTCGTGGCGATTTTGCATTTTGTCTGGGTGACTGTTTCATTCAGAACCTATGTGGCTGCTTCCCGACACGAGCACCTTCTGCGGTAACCAGGTGCGCTGCTAGATGCTGTGGAGAAGGGCAGTGGCACTTGCCTCCTAGGAGCTCTCTGGTGAGCCCGATGTGCCCACACAGAACCATCGCCTCGCCAAGCAGGCCGGGTCAGCCTGCCCGCCGTGTTCGGGAGCCCGGGCTGCTGGGCAGAGAGCAGGGCGTTGAGGGCCCCGGGAGCACGCAGACATGGTGTGAGTGACCCTGGAACAGCGGCAGAGGTAGGGAAGTGACCCTGAGAAGTGGCCGTGTGGCACTTTGCCACCAGTTAGGTGTTTCAGATTCTACTGGTGTGAGCTGTTACTGCTTAGCCTTTTTCCTTAGGGTGCTTCATTCAGTATGGGGGAAATTCACAGTCTGTGGGGATCAGGGGAGGTGGATTCCCGAAGCAGGTTTGTAATCCCCCCGCTCTGCTGTTTTCCTGCAGGAGGCTACTTTCTGTGTGGTCCTTCGCGGCGCTCGGCTGGGCCAGGCCGTGCTGAGTGACGTGCTGCGGGCTGGCTGCGTCCCGGTCATCATGGCAGATGCCTATATTTTGCCTTTCTCGGAGGTTCTTGACTGGAAGAGGTGGGTATTTCCTTCTGAGGTACTTTTCATACGTGTTTGAGTTAAAGGGCCCCCGGGTGATTGTAATGCCCGTGTAGTTTGAGAGGAGCGGGCCTCTCCCGTACATTGCATCGGTGTGTTGTCCTTCAGGAGAGTCAGTCAGTGGCTGGGGCTGAGGCTGGAGAGCTGAAGCCTGGAGGTCCGGCGTGGCAGGCTACCAGTCGCTGTCAGCAGACTTTCACGGCAACACGGCCATGCTCGTTTACATTTTGTCTGTTTCTTGGCTACAGAATTGAGTCGGCGCAGTAGAGGCATACAGGCACCAAGCCCACACCATTTCCCGACTGGCCCTTTATAGAACTTGTTTATTAGCCTTGGCCTTGGACGGTAGTTCTCAGTGATGACTGCTGGAGAACGTGAAAAGGCCCGGGCCCATCTCAGGACTGCTGTGTTTTAGCGTTCCCGGTTACTTTGATTTGTAGTCACAGTTGACTACTCTGCTCCAGGCTGGGCTGAGTTTGCGTGGCGTGCGGCGGGGGCGGGGCGGAGCCCCTCTGCGGTGAGAGCTCAGACGCCCCCAGCGTGCAGGTGGCAGGTGCTCCCGAGACAGCGCTGGGCTTGACGCGGGGCTCTGGGCTCTGTGGTTCCTCTCCCTAGGACTCGGGGTGGGGTAAAGTGTGGGGAACCATTTCCCCGGTGTGTCCCTCTCGGGCTTGCCTTTGCCCGGCGCATGATCACTTCCCCTCTCCTGTCTTTGCTCTTCTGTCCCAGTCAAGCCATCACAGGCGTTTGAACAGAGCAGCACTCCTGCATGCCTTCTTCCATCTCACATCTTTCGGGAGGCCATCCGTGAGAGACACAGGCTGCGGTCTCGGGAGGCCTAGTGGGGAGACAAGCCACGGTTGTGTAATAAATGGCCGCAGCAGATACCTGCCCTGGGTGGTGAAAGCTCAGAACAGAGGAGGAGCCTGAAAGAGGAGGGTGTGGCAGGATTCTCGCCTCAGAGAAGCAAGGAGCCACTTCCAGTCATTTCTTCGTCCATGGGAGGGTCATGGAGTGCCCTTCATTTCCAGGTCCTGTGCTGGTGTGGGGATGCAAAGGGGACCCAGGTGAAACCTTTCCTCTGAGAAGCTGCAGTCTAGTGATGGGAGGTTAGCTAATCGGGAGGAAATGCGGCCTGGCTGTGGGTGCCGGGAGAATTGAGGAGGTCGGTGCTCTGCTGGCTGTGGGGCCGGTGGGGACTTCACAGGGCAGTGGCCCTGAGCCGAGTCTGCAGATAGTCGTGTGAGAATCCATCCCTACTTGGGGAGGTGCATTCGTGGGGGAGCGGTGAAGGGACCCTGGATTTGCAGAAGACCTGGGTTCAGATAACTGTCTCTGTTACTGGCTAACTTTGTGATTTGCCAAGTCATATAACTTCTTTTGAGCCACTTCCCCCCACCCCGTCGGTGTAGTAGAAATCATTTATTACTCAGCAGATATTTAGTAACTGTGCACACTCGGCAGGGCACAGTGCTCAAGCCATGTTGTGAGCGGGACCAGGCGTGGTTTCCATCGAGGAGACAAGCCTGGGGGGGTGGGGGGTGGCATGTGTTCAGATTTTAATAAATTACTATACATGAATATAATTACAGTTGCTAGTGAATTCCATGAGGGCTAAGTCAGTGTTGAGTCCTCCTTTCCCCTTCCCCACCATATCTAATCTGTTCCTAAATCCCGCTGGCTCTGTTCTCTCATCGCTCTCGTCAGTTCTTCCCTCGTCAGCGTCTCTTGCCTGGATTTTGCGATCGTCTCCAGCTGTTTCTCACCCCTGCTCTTGCTTCCTGTGGTTTGTTCCAGCACTCTAGGCAGACGGGTTCTGCTGGAACCTGGTCACGTCTTGCCAGGCATGGGCTGAACCTTCCCCTGGCTCTCTGCCTCAGGAAGAGCCCAGGTCCTCTTCTGGGCTGTGCCTCCGCACTGGCCTCCCTGCTGTGACATGGTGCTTCCTCAGGGCCTTCGCGTCCTAGTCCTCCTGCCTGGAGTGCCCACCCTCAGGTGTGCTCACATCCCCCTCTGCCTGCCTGGTCGGGTTTGGTCAGTGTTGTATCACCGGGCCTCGTGCTTAAGAGCGGCTTCATCAGTGTCCGCTGTATAGATGATGAACGGAGGTGTGGAGATGATCAAGGAGAAAAGTCGCTCATTCTGAGCAGGTGGTGCCGGTGGAGGGTAGGAGTCGGTGGCCTTGACCCCCAGGGGCCGTGTGGGGACAGAGCGTGTGCGTCCTGGTGACAGAAAGGCAGCCAGTGGGGCTGAGCCTGGTGCAGGGGGGATGACGGGCAGGTGGGGGGTGGATGGGAAGGCGGAGCTGTGGCAGGACGGCTTGGCCAGGTCAGGCCATAAGGGAGGGAGGAGGGGAGGGGGAGCGCCGCTGGGAGGGACGTGGCTGAGGTGCTTTGGCGTTTTGGTTCCTCATGTGGGGATGGAACAGGACCGCGCATGCAGACTGCTTTGTGTGAGGGCTTTGTGCATATAAACTGTTCTGCTTTTATCTCTAGAGCGTCTGTGGTTGTGCCAGAAGAAAAGATGTCAGAGGTGTACAGTATTTTGCAGAGCATCCCTCAAAGACAGATTGAAGAGATGCAGAGACAGGTAAGGGGCCTGTGGGAGGTGACTGCGTGGTGTGAGGGGCCGTCCTGGCCGGCCGGCCCGTGCGGGGGTTATTTCCCCCACGGAAAAGAGGAAGGCGCGCCAGGGGAGTTGTGTCTAGTAAGGTCTGAAATCATAGCTATCAAGTTTAAATATTCCTGGGGGCGGCCTGCGACGACTGCGGGGTCACACCCCGGTGGTGTGTTTGCGACAGAGTGGAAGGAACCTCTGAAAGGTTTTCACCAGAAGCCACAGCTTGAGCGGCAGAGACAGTTATGGGAGCTGGAACATACCGGGGGCACTTAGAAGCAGCTTTGACCTTGAGCGTGTTGTGGCTGAGCTGCCTGGTCAGGTGCCCTCGTGGTGGCCCCCCTTCCCGTTCTCTCTTCTGCCCCTGAAGCCCATTCTCTGGGTCTCCACAGCTGTCTAAAGCACCCACAGGTTTGTATCCCTTTGAATCCTGCTTCCCTTTCTCCTGAAAGAAATTTTTGTTGGGTTGAAATGTCAAGCAAATTAAAGAAAAAATTGGACTGTCTTCATTTCAGTGCTGAGTTGGAGAGGAGGTGTGTGGGGCTGTCAGCGTTCAGGGTGAGCCCTGGCGCACCTCCTGTCTGTCCTGGTGTTTGCTCCCAGGCGGCGAGCCTGGGCCTGGCCTTGTCTGTTTGAGAGCGGCGGACCCCTGGCTGCATGGGGTGGGGTCCGGGCTCCTGCTGCTGCTTAAAGCTCGTTTCAGCCTGGTCTCCTTTGGCCCTGTGCTCCTTTTCTCTGCCCCGAGCACATCTAGGGTGAGGGCCGGGCACCTCCCTGATGGACAGCCCTGCATTATGTCACCTTTCCAAAGAGAGGCTGTCCTGGCACTTCCCTGCCTCCCTTTCTAAACCTCGCTCCGGCTTTACAGTGCCCCTTTCCCGGTGTCCCCCAACTTCCCCCACTGCTGTAAGGTGGGTTCTCCTGTGCCTGTAAGAGTCAGCTGCCACTTTGAAAAGCTAAGAGGTGCTTTTCAGCTTCCGTAGTTCCTTGCCGTCCCCTTATTTCTCATCATCTCAGAGGGCACATGCCTTTATTTCTGCAAGGTCCCCTTACTCATCCCTCTCGGGGTTAGGAGGGAGTGCAGGTTGGATGCGTCTGTCGATCGTCTTTATGTGGTCCTGAGCTTGTGGACCCATACTGGTGGCGCGGCACCAGGAATTAAGCCTGTAGGTTTTTACCTCACAGTGATGCCACTGTGGCCATCCCTGACTTGGTGTCGCCACCCATGGGTCTTCCTCCCCTGGGTCCCAGTCTCACCTGTGCATTATTTTGGCATTTTGATTTGAAAACAAACTGCAGGTTGATTTTTAGCTGCCCTGTAGTATTTTCATCACTTACTCGTCTTTTAAGTTTCGCTGCTTCCCAGGTGTTACATGGTCGCTGACCTCTGAGTTTTAGTGAATTAGATAATGAGTCTGCAGGTCTCTCGATTCTTGCTCTAAACTTGAGGCTTTTACAACCTGCTTAGCAAACATGCCCCTTGAAGCTTCAGGTCCTGGTGTTTGCGCTGCTGTTTATAACATCTGATTTCTTAACATGACAATCTTGGGCTTAGTAGAAGAATTTAATGGTTAGCAGAGGGAACAGGGAAGGGGGGAAGGGAGGGAAGTTGGAGGAAAGAAGGTGGGGATGGGGGGCCTTGGGAGATTTGGAGGAGGGTGAGTGCAGCATGTGCTTGTATGGAAGAGTAAAGTGTATCCCCAAATTAAAATAATTTAAAAGGTTTTTCATTGTTTACATACTGAAATGATTGTATTTTGCATGTTTTCATTTTTATAAAACACAAATTGTTTTCTTCCTTAATGTAGCTACTAAAAATATGAAAGTAAGTAATAAAAAAGCACCTGCTAAAACGAATGTCATCTTTTTACTAGATTTGGTTTTTAAAAGAAAAGATTGAAAAGAGAAAAATGAGCAAATTCCATCCAGTTACGTCTCTTCCCGCCACCTTCCTGCTGGGAAGAGAGCATTTGGTTGGCAACAGAGCGGCCCCCAGAACCACAGACCGGCGGCCAGTCACCCTGGGCGCCAGCTCAGAATCAGCGAGCGGGATGATAAGTAGTGGGTGCTTAAAACAGCACAGCTCCCCGTTATTTGGACTCAGAAGCTGTGTTTGAAGCCTGGTCTGCCCCGGACTGTGTAACTGACGGACAGGTCCTTCTGCTCGGGGCTGCGGGTTAGAGCCCGCCAAATGCTTGTCCTGAGCCAGACACTTACTCTCCAGTGCCGAAGTGGCCTTCTCTCCCCCGAACACCTCCAGTGGAGAGGGCCCGGCACCCCTCTGGTGGCACAGCCCTGTTTTTCGTCCCCTTACAGAAGAGAGGCTGTCCTGGCACTTCCCCGCCCCTCTCTAGGTCTCGCTTGCTTCCCAGTGCCCCTTTCTCTGTGCTGTGTTCAGGGTACAGCCCGCCACCGCGGGCCCTCCTCTGTCTGACTAGTCTGTTCTAAAAGTGGCCTCTTTTCTTCTCCCAACCCCAGGTTTCTAGATGCCACTGATCTCGACTAGGTGTGAGGTTACCGGCTTGAGGAGATTCCCGGCCAAGTAGGAAGGATGAGTCAGCTCAGCCATGGGGTGCCTCTAGCGCTGCTTTCTTCCACACTGCCACTCCAGGAGCCCGTCCGCCCAGAGCGGCTGGCCTCGGGGGCCTTGAGAGCAGGGCTGCTTTTGTGGGAACCGCTGTTTTGCTGAGATGTAAGGTCTTTCCTTTCTAAAATTAGGTTCCTTTGCTCTGTAGGACCTCTCTCAGGTTATGCTCATTATTTTGCCCTCTGTTTATTTACCATTGGTTGATTTAACCTGATCTTTCAAGGAGTAAGTAAAAAAAAAAAAAATTATCAATACAGACATGGTTCTGGAAAGATTTTACTTTGATGAGCTCTCTTTGTGGAGCTCAAATTTGGGTCTTTCTGTCAGACAGCATCATAAGTGCCGAGGGGCGGGCCTGCGATAACACTTCTCCATCCCTAGTGGTACCTGAGACTGGGGAACAGTCTGAGCAACTGTGAACTAGATCGGGGAGCTGCATGGACGTTTACAGCCAGCAGAGGTCTCCATCTACTTTGAAGTGACTCATTTGAAAAGTCTCCAAGAAATCCTAAATACTAGGAGCTTCTCTGGGGTTCACTAGAGAGGCCTTTCTCCAATGGAGAAGAAACAGCATTCGCCCAGGATGTTGCTCTCACCACATGGCAGCGAGGGAGGGTTTCTCAGAGGTCAGGGCCAGCATCTCGGTGGTGGTGGTGTTGCAGCAACATTGTGTTGCGTGGGTCGGAAGTCTGTGAACACTGAGGTGAAAGTCCTTCTCACGGCTTGGGAGTTAGGGTGCCCTGATGGCGCATGACATCTTCCTGGCAAGCAGAGTGATTCATCTTTTTCTCTGGGCCTTACATGTGATAGTGAAACAGCCAGGAAGTTTAATAAACACAGGCTGGAACCTAACGTAAGTAAGCAGTGGAGTTGGGCTGAGATTTTTGAAGATAAGTACAGCCCGTGTTTCTGTTCTTTATTCGTGGAAGCCAGTGACAAACAGGGTCCAGGCTGGGCTGTCTTAGAAGTGTGCATGCCTGTGTTTCTGGATAAGTTAAAAACCAGTTCCTTTAATTAATAGAGGATAATAACTACAAAGTATGAAACCACCTTTTCAGTTAATCTTTTATTGTCCTATGAGCTGGATCAACTAGTTGGTTAATTCAGTGGAGCCCTACATTTTTTTCCCATAAGGGAAAATGATAAAAGATATGAAATCTGTTATCTCCCTCTTTCCCCGAAAGACTAACAGTCAGCTGGCGATATGCAGATGGACGCACCAAGGAAGCTGAGAAGATGCAACAGGGTTTTCCAAAGTATATCAGGGACCGTACGGGCAGGGTGAATGTATGGGCAGAAGTTGTCAGGGGCAGATTTGTTGGGGAGGCAGTGTTTGGGGTAAGCCCGAACGGCGGAGGGCTCCCTCAGCATCTTCTCATACTGGGAGGCAGGAAGGAGCAAGCTACCAAATACTTGTGTGTAGTCAGATGGCACATTCCTACATTCCTATTCCCAGTCTCTCTTGACTCACAATGAAAAAGGAAAAACTCTCGGTTCTCACAAGGCTGGAAAGAAACATTTCTGGGCCATACAGTCAGAAATGTTTGTGTGCATAGGGAGGAAGGTGTAAAAGGATCCCCAGTTTATCTGTTGAGTGGAGTTTCCAAACATTCTTTTATTGGTCAGCGACTCCACTAGCGGTGACCTCTAACCTCTGCCACACTAGGAGGTGGAAGCTAGGAGCCTGTCTTGCCTTTGAACTCTTCTTTGTACTCAATTGACTAGGAGCCTTTGAGGTGGCAGCAACACCCAGCATCGTCTTTTCTCCCTCACCTTTAGCGCTCGGGGTAAGTTGACATGTCAGTGCCTTTGTCATCTTTCACGTTGATCCATCCCAGTTTGCCTTCATTTTTTCCTACTTAGCATACCAACTGTTTATCTGCAGGGGGAGTACATGAAGATATGATGGGCTGATGAGGAAAGAGGCAGAGCACTCTGACTTAAGAAAATGAGGTCCCTGACAAGTCATCCCCTCGCCTGCCAGGCTGTCATAGGCTGCCCGTGACAGAAGCGGCCTGGAGAGCTCGTGTGTGCTGTGCCAGATTCAGGCACTTTGTCCCAGGAGAGCTCGTCTTCCTTACACAAGATTTCAACACAGTCACCAGGCTTCAGAGCAACAATGGTTTAGAAGCCATACATTGGGAGGGCAGAAAAACTTCAGGGGAGGGACTGAGGTGGGCCATCTGCCAGTCTGGCATGAGGAGAGAAGATGGAGAGCTGTGGTAAGACGTAGCTCTTGGTGCATGGCTCAAGGGCAGACAGCCTTGCAGGCCTGGCTGTAGCCTGGTGAGCCATTGCAAGGTGGCAGAATTCCTTGATTCAAAGAAGCACATGTTTTGTTTTCATATTTTGGATATTTCCATATTCCGGCACCCTAGTGAGTCAG